TTTAACTCCGACTACGACAGCTGAGACTACCACATATTTTCTTTAAAAAATATTCTGATTGAATTGAAAAACAGTATCTATTAAGATGTTTCTTATTCATTGAAGTTTTATGTAATTGATGAAAATTAGAAGTCCCGTAATTCTCATAAGCGTCCATAACTTCAAATGTTATGGGCTGTTGTCGTGACAACAGGCATAGATATCAGGGTAGTATACTCAGCTGGTGAGTGACTTGTGATTAGATATCTACCAATCAAGTTACGTAGAATTCGAATCCTATACATATACATGTTAACGAGCAACGTCAACTCAAGATATTGAGTAATTTATTATTCACTTACGTTCTTTACTGCTATATAAAAAAGTAATCATGGTCGAGTTTAACCAAGGTTGAAAAAAGTTCTTATCGCTAGGTTCCGATGGTGCAAGCATTGTTCGAAATAAACATTCATAAGAACAATATTGGATAAACCTGTACTGAATTTGTGTGTTTACTTCTACAGTACAAGACTTAGTTTATTTATGATATATTTACTACTCTCTTATGCGGCCCACATAATGTTTGCAAATAAAGTTTGAACTCAATTCGTGATTCCATAAACACTGTTCCACGAGTGTGTGTGTATGTTTTGTTATAGCAAAGCCACATCGGGCTATCTGCTGTGTCCACCGAGGGGAATTGAACCCCTTAATTCTAGCTTTGTAAATCCGAATGGGGACTGTCCCACGATTCTGAGATTTTACAACTGTAGACGGACCTGTTTCTTCAGCGAGGAAAAGGGTCACAAATTTTAATGAAAACTTTGAAAGAGTTCGATTTTCTTCAGTTTGATGGTTTTCTAACACTTTCCCCTAAAGCTGTAGCACCACAGGAAGGACAGGTTTAGTCTACTCCTTGCAAAGACTTTTGAGGACCTGGTTACAATAGACATACTCGAGAACTCCATCAACAGATGCAATTCAAAAGACTCGGTGTCAGTGAAATTAGTCAGTTATTATTGAAAAAAAAATTAAAACAAGAATTTTTATCTTTATTCAAAACTCGTGCATAAAACACTCCAGTTGGCCTGCAGTACAATTTCCTGCTCTTTGGACCAAAACTATCCAAATGGCGGTCTAATAGCAACTCCAGCTGCGTTTAACGTTTTATTGACTTATTAATATTGTCATAGTAGACGACAATGTACCTTAACTCTTTTTTTTCAGAATGCTGTAATAAATATAGCAGTCTTGTGTTATGTGGCATAGTAAACAACTATTTTCCACGTGATGTCTCATAGGACTTGTTATAGCTGTTCTGCAGTTTCCAGGCGTGAGCCAGAAGCAGCTCAGGAGACGTGCCGTGTGGCTCTTCTTCAGGCCAAGATTTTTATGGATCGTGTCATTCACAGTTCCTGCTACAAATGTGCTATGAGTCCCTCAACATTTACGTTTTCGCTAGATAATATTTAGTTATTATTCAGATAATATATAATTTAAATCTTTAATCCTTATTGGCGAACAGGTGGAAAAAATATCCTGTTCGAAATAACCCTGAAGGCCTATCAACTTATTTTTGTTTTCACAATAGACTTGAAGACTACTGAGATATTTTTTAAAACAGCAAATATTTTGGTTAACACGTTTTTTAAAATTCGTCTTGCGGATAGCTGACGTAGGAAGAAATTATTATACACACTTAATACAACACCTAACAACATAGGAAGAAATTATTATACACACTTAATACAACACCTAACAACATAGGAAGAAATTATTATACACACTTAATACAACGCTTAACAACGTAGGAAGAAACTGCTCTACATCTTTAACATAACGCCTAACAAGATAGGAAGAAATTGTTCTACATATTTAACATAACGCGTAACAACGTGGGAAGAAATTATTATTCACACTTAATACAACGTAGGAAGAAACTGTTCTGCATACGTAACATAATGCTTAACAGTTTCAAGCACGCAATTTTGTTCATTGTTGCTGCAGCAAAGAAGGATGTGAGAAGATGGTGTGGCTTGTTATTAGTGAAGGAAACTGATGTCACAATCAAATGAACGAGAATTTGGTGGATAAGTGAGTGGCAAGTTAAGATGGCGAGCAGAAGAGATAAAACTGGTGGAAGGTAACGGGGCTCAGAATGAAAAGAAAAAAGATACAACGAATGACTTGAGAATCTTAGTTGATACACACACACACACAAAAACGAATCCAACATTTATTTATACAGATAATATAGGTACTTGTATATGTACATAGTCTGAGTTATTTACAGACATTTACGGTACTTGTACATGTACATAGTCTGAGTTATTTACAGACATTTACGGTACTTGTACATCTACACAGTCTGAGTTATTTACAGACATTTACGGTACTTGTACATGTACATAGTCTGAGTTACTTACAGACATTTATGGTACTTGTACATGTACATAGTCTGAGTTATTTACAGACATTTACGGTACTTGTACATCTACACAGTCTGAGTTATTTACAGACATTTATGATACTTGTACATGTACATAGTACGAGTTACTTACAGACATTTACGGCACTTGTATATGTACATAGTCTGAGTTA